AGGCCAAGATGCCACAGCCCACACTGATCACCTCTTCCCAAAAAGGCAGGGAAGTCGCTTCTCCACACCACGCAGCGAGCCCCGCTCACCTGAATCGCTTAAGGTGCAGTCGGAGGACCTGAGGTAGTCTGTAGATCATTAACTGCTTTCTAGCTTCACTCAGAACAAGAGGTTTAGGAGAAGACTTGCGCCGTTTGCCTACTGATCACTTCTTCCCAAAAAGGCAGGGGAAGTCGCTCCCCGACACCAAGCAGCGAGCCCCGCTCACCTGAATCGCTTAAGGTGCAGTCGGAGGACCTGAGGTAGTCTGTAGATCATTAACTGCTTTCTAGCTTCACTCAGAACAAGAGGTTTAGGAGAAGACTTGCGCCGTTTGCCTGCCAGAAGAGAAAGAGATATCAAGGCAAAGGTTGTTAGTGTAATGTGTAATTCACCTTCAGAAGGGAAAAGCACATTCTGGACTCCTTCTCTTGCAGCAGCAGCGGATCAGCTCGCATGCACTCAGGATGGACACGCAAATCAACATTTCTTATGAATGCCTTCACAGAGCAGGAACTTCCCTAGGAACAAAACTCACACATTTAAAAACACTTAAACTTACTCAAATTTTGTGATGCTCGTAATCACACAACCTTCAAGCTGCTCATGCTGACATTTTGCTCCGAAAATACACCAGAAATATGAGGACAGAGCTAGGGCCAATGATACCTAGGGCTGCAGCAGTTTCAACAGGTCAACTCCTGGCATCCAAATAGTATTATATGGCATCATATTCTGTTAAAATACTCCTTATTACAGCACGGCACTAAAGCTTGTAGCAGCAAGCTTCACTAGCTCAAGAACATGAATACAAGGCAGCAGAAAACGTTCCCAGCAAGGTTCCACCTCTCGCAGGGTTTCTGCCTGCCCAAGAACATAAACCAACTTCTGTAATGAAACTGGAGAAGAAAAGAGGTTCCTGTTCGCACGATTCCTCTTTCCAGGACACTGAGCAGCAGGAGGAAGACAGGTGGCTCCCAGAGCTTCCAGTAAGAAAGGTACCTGTTAATTAGATTTCTGCACCTCACCGCACCAGTTCGGAACAGATGGGATGCTCCTCCTCCATCGCGTCTGACAAGCGGTGCCTCCAATAATTTTTGGCACCTAGACGCAGGCTGCTTGCCTTGCCCTGACTTTTTTCAGCTGGTTAATGGTTCCTTAGGCACTTAACTCAGAAGTGACTGTTAAAGTTCAGGCTTTCACAAAGAATCGAAGCAAGCAGATTAAAGATGACGCCGTGGTCATCCACATCACCGCTTTGTGAGCGGTATTTGGGAAGCAGAATCTGCTCGAATTGTATTTGGCTTTGTTTCAGGAACATCTACTTGACGATTATTACCTAACGCTCTGTGAAGATGTTTGGTAACAGATTTGCAAGCTGATAGGGAACAGATCTCTGCACGGATTTGCTACTTCAGCTGCTTAGCTGCAATGTAAGTCAAATTATTGGCGTTTTCCTCCGAAGGGGATGAACATTTGCCATGAATACCTGCATGAAAAACATTTCAGATCCAGCTTATCAGCGCAGCTGAGCTGCACAAGGCACAAGGCTAAAATTACTTTCAGGCGTATAATGACCTTACACTCAGACCCACTACAGGGACGCAGAAGTCATCTTCCAGCTGAGCACAGCAAAACACGGGCGTTCCTGTAAGGGCTAATACATTAACCCGAGACACCCAGAATAACGTCAGCTCATTGCTTCTCGACAAAACGCCTTCAGAGATGGAAACTCCGACCTGGCAGCAGACCCTGAGAACTCTGCATTTAGGATTTGTGTGTAAACGATTCAATCAAGAACGAGCAGCACGCAGATGACTTGTTACGAAAGCTCTCCTGCCATGCAGAGGGGAGCAAAGCAGAGGGTACAAGGTTGCTTCTTTTGCCCCTCTCCTCCAAAAAATGACCGAAGTTGCCTTCTGCTCCAGCACAAGTGGAGAGAGCAGTTCCGAACAGGGCTGTATTAAACCCTGAGTAAACCGACTCAATGGTGGAGACATGAGATAAATGACGTATCAGATCCCAACCGGTGCTGTGACCAACAGGGGGAAACAAAACAGCACGAGCCGCGAGGAAAAGCAGTGTTTTCATACACATACAGGCCACAGTCCGTGTTTTCACACACAGAAACACCTCTCGCTCCGAAAACCAGAGTGTTTTGGGTGGCAAAGGCAGCAGCAGCACCCCACTTACTGTTGCATTGGTCGCACGCGTAAATCCTCCCTTCCAGAGCTTCCGTCTCGGTGAACTTGGCCAACATTTCCGTCAGCATGCACTCGGTCTGGTTAACGGGGACGATCCCTTTCTCAGTGCAGTGGTAGCGCTCGGGGAACTCCAGGGAAAGATCCCAAAAGGGCTCAACGGTGTTGGATTTGTAGTTGCATGTTATGCAGGTGACCTGGGAATGAAAAGTGCATACACGAATGAAGTTATGGAGATGTACGTGTGCAAACAGGCACTTATATTCACATCCAAACAGCCAGTTCATGCCCAAAAGGCTGTGCAGTTTCATGGACACAAAGGCAATCCGTGAGCCAAGAGAAACACTGCTTGTTTCCAGGCTGAAATCTGCCTATCTTGAGCAGATGATTTAAACTATTTTTCAATTCTCAAAAAAATGAAGGCAATATTCACCTTTATGGGAGTCACTTCCTCAGATAACCACGGTTACAGGTATCACACTGATTCACAGTTGGGTGACAAGCACCTTGGATCTGTTTTCTACTACAAAAAGCACACGTTTGCATTTATCACACAATCTTCCTTCCATAGTTTCTCTACTATCCTCGCGTATTTCCCTCCTGTAATGTTTCATTTACTAACAATACAAAAATTCATGAATGGAGCTTGAAAGGACAGATTTCAGATGCACTTTTTTCCTTATGCATTATCAATAAGACCAGCAGAGAAGTTTTCAATTAAACTCAGAGGCAGAAAGTGAGAACGTGGAGAAGTAACACAACCAGAGAACAGCTCTGGTCGGACTCTGTCACTGGGAAAAGCATCCACCAAAACCCAAATTCCAAGCTTGCAGCCTGGCAGCTTCATCCACTGAAGGTACCAGTAACGTCAAGATGGACTCGTAGCTACAGACAGGGAAGGAAGTCGTTCTGGTTTGAAACTGAACACAGTACATGTACACAAGAGTTACATAAACAGAATAAACAGCTCGGCGAGTTATTTATAGTGTATCGTAGTAACAGATAAATTACACTGATGTGGGAACGTCCTCACGCTGTTAACACAGACCTACCACTGAATCTACAACAGGCACCACCTCCCAGCGTCAAGAGACAACCCAAAAAGGAGCTTTGAGTTCAGAAGCCCAGAAGAAGCTCAGGCACTGCAGAGGAGTCAACTGAACCACGACTTCAAGTGTCCTTTCCCTGAAAATTCAACAACTAACTTGAAAAATACACCTTTTAATATTCAACGTGCACTCAAGTTCTTGTGAGTGGTAAACTTGGTAGGACTGGCACCGAGAAGGGCAATATAAATAGTACTGAGAATGTATAATAAATACTCCTCGTGGTCTGACCTTGCAAACCCTCGAGTGTCAAGTTAGGCACCCACTTCATTCCTCCTGGAAAGCAAAGGCAGTTGAGGACTTTCAAAAGGCACTGGGTGCTCAGGGTCTGCCTTGTCAGGAATAACAAGTTTCAGACGTGGGAACAGCAGAGGAGCAACAGACCGAGCACACGAGAGGCACTTTCCTCTCCTACAGACACCTGCGTAAGCACGTTCAGTATCTGAAGATGACTTTCAAACGCCTGCCAAGAAAACACTGTCACAGACAACTTATTCTTTACAGCACAAGGTGACTGCCCTCTCTGTCCCTCGTCATCTTCTGTCTGGCCACAGAAACAAAACCAGGAAGAGACAAAACAAATGACAAAGACACTTAAAGATCACAGTAAAAACTGAAAACCAAGGGCTCAGCACTCTCTGTACTTGTGCACATTTCACTCTGAAGCAGCAAAAGCCAACTGAGTTTACAGTACACGTGGCAAGTATTGAAAATGCTGACAACCTGCACAGCAACCCAACAGATTTCTCTCTCTGGAGGCGCTCCTAAGCAATTCCTCTTACAGATCTGGTGTCTCCTCAAGAAACGGAGCCTTTGCTCCCTGGTGTGAACGGCTCCAAGTGATTTCTGTGCAAAAGCAGGTGCATACCTGACTAAGCAACTGCCCGTGGAAAATGGTGTTCACCACCTTCAGGACCTGCTTGGTGAGCTTCCTCTGGGAGAAGGGGATGAGGATCCTGCGCTTCGTTCCCTCCGACTCCAGCTCCTGCTGTACCTTATCCAACAACTCGCAGAGAAATTCCTGAGCGTCCTGCTGGTCGTACCCTCGAAACGCCGGGATCAGACTCCACACAGAGTGCAGCATGGCAAAGGGGGACACCAGCGCCCACTTGCCAGACCACATCACTCTGAAGAGGGTGTGCAATTCGTGACAGAGGGAAATGTGCTTTGAACTCGGCTCCTTGGGTTGTATCAGTTCTAAACTCCTGCTTATCGAGGAGCCACCATTTAAGCCAGCTGGCAAGCTCTGCGTGCCATATGATCCCACTTTGTCAGGCTTCCCCGACTCATTAGCAGCAGACCCATTTGCCAATTTGCCAGGCGTCCTAGACTTCCCATTCACAGTTTTGGCTAAGAGTTCTTCTGTTTCACAGAGATCAAGTGTCAAAAAACATTCTCTAAACTTCTGGAGGTGACTGAGCACTTGCAGAATAGAATTCATGTAACACGTGTTTCCCAGGTTCCTTAGACCCGTTACCCCGGGAGTCATCAGAGGCTTACGCCGGATGGAATAAAACTGTTTGAATCTGCTGCTCTGCATCTGACTTGAGGTAGGGGAAGCGGTCGCCACCTCCCTGAATTTCCTTGGGATCAAGTTCTCTCTGTGCACGTGAGACAGCAGCCTGGCGCTCTTCCTCGGAGGAGTGTTTGCCAGCTCCTCCAGGAGCTGTCTCTTCATCTCCTGCCGCCGCTGCCTGGCTGCCTCCTTCTTCTTCTCCAGCTCCTCCATTTGCTGCTTCTCCTTTAACTTCAGCTGGCCCCGAGAGCTCTTATCAAACCAGGTCCGCAGCGCCTTCGCAAGCAAGGACTGGCGCCTGTGCCAGAGAGCTGTGAGCATCTGAGACTGCCCCTGAGGGCTCCTTTGATGGCTGCACACGTCCTCCCCCAGAGCCATCGATCGCAACGTCCTGCCGCTTCTCGTCGACGGATCATGTTTTTGACTTTTAATTGCCGACAGAGAACTCCTCAGCAATTTCAAATCGCCCTCCGGGTTATCGTTCAAGACGTAATCTTCACAAAGGTAACAGAAGACGTACAGATCGTGGACTTCCATTGCCAACGGATGCCTGGTTTCTTCGAAGTGTTTGAGCGCATGCTCCTCGATGTACCTCCCGCACGCCACGTGGGAGCACTTCAGACAGGCCCAGAGAGACTCGGTCGTCTGGCAGTCCACGCAGTGCCACTTCTGGGGGTTCAGGATGGAGTGGTCCTGGGCGAGTCGTAGCCGCCCAACATGTTTGCATCTATCCATGTCTTACAGGAGTCTTCGCTGCTTTGACCTTGGAAGGCAAAAATAAAAGAGAGAAAGGATCTTAGAGCATATACATCTTTAAAATTCTCTCTCTTTTTCTTTTTTACCAGCTGTAAAGAGCTATAAAAATACAGATGTCGCGCCTTGTCAATCCCACCTGCAGTTTTCCTTAACCGGCTACGTTAATTCTGAGCACAGGTTTGTTTAAAAAGCGGTTTTTAGTACCAGCAAAAGCCATTGGATTGACAAGGTCTGCAGCATAAAGCTGCCTATCTGCCTACTAAGGACAGCCCAGACAGCTGCCAGCACGCCCGACCCAACCTGAATGGCTCGCTCCCAAGGAGAACGAGATTAATTCAGTCCACACACACGTTTGATCTTTAGGTGCCCTCCTGAAATTGATACATACAAAATGAATTTGGAATTGGAATGCACGCCGTCAGGAACCAGGCCGAGGTTACCAACTCCTCGCAGAAGGCACAAAAACATCTAATAATTGTCATCACCAGAGCATTTGCAAGTCCACGGGCTTTACATTCTACCTTTGCTATCCCACACTTGAGCATTTGGATGATTTAAGAAAATTAGCAGGGTAAAAACAAATCATAAAAACGTGCGTCATCCCGCGTTGTAGTGAACCTAAAGGAACATCTGCATGTGGACACGTGTCTGCGAGCACACACACAGAGAAAGCAACTGGTTCACTGAATTACCACAGCGTAAGGGAAATCAAAGCAGGGATACCAGGACTGGAAGGCGCAAAAAGCTTTCGCTCTGCGTCCTTCGCCCGTACGTTTTACAGAAGACACCGAGCTGCACAAAGAGCACAACTGAACACCATGTGCCAGCGCTGTGGTTTCTTTTGTGCAGCCCCTCCAGCACCCCGAGCCGCGGGGACAGAGATGGGGGCGCAGGGGCAGCAGCCGGGCTCGCTCGCGCTACTCACGGAGTGGCGTTCAAACATCCTCTCCTCCGCGACGCAGCGTCCAGGGCGCGGAGCATCCCCATTGCAGCCAGAGGAGCCTTCCAAAGGCGGTTCTTCGAGAATTTAATGACCGCTTAAGTCTTCGTCGTAAGGCGGCACGGCTTCAAAGCCCTGGAGAGAAAATACTCTGGTGATGCACAGAAACGGAGCGCGAACGCTGGCAGGGCTGCTCGTGAACACCGCTAATCCCCTCGGCGCAGGAGCTGCTGCGGAGACCACGTTCATGAGGGAGGACAAAATTATCTGGAAGTCAAAGCATGAACACACCTAGGAACCCAAATACCGAGACGTTAGGAAATGTCACGGGGAAGAGGCGCTCTGGGATTGCATTTTGCCGCTTTCATTTTCGGATCGTCTCGAAATCTGCTGATCACATGTAGCCACTTCATCGCGAGTCTTTTGTAGTGGATGACCCAACATATGGCAGGGGGAAAGGCAAAAAAAAATAATCTGGGTAACAAAATAACTGAGCAAAACCGTGCGCCTCCTGTGATCGCTGCAATTTTGGCTGCTGCGAGAACTTGGTGAAAGAAGAGGGGGGGAGGAGATAGGGAAAAAGAAACACAAATCTGTCCTGAATTAAGAGTTCATTTCTAGATGATTTCTCAAACAATGAAGTAATGAGGAGCTGTCAAGTGCGAACGGCAACAAAATAAGAACTGTGGAGGGAAGAAAGATGGGAAAAACCTGCATTTTGCCACAGGCAGAAAAGCCTCTAAAGACGTATCTGTAACAACCCCAGAAAGACAAAACGAACGTGTTTATGCAGCTACGACTGCAGCACTCCAGCACAACACAAAGTAGTGGTAGGAGGGACAGCAATAAGAGGCACAAAGTGGTTACAGATGTCCCAGGGGGTGTCAGATCTGGCATACAGAGTATTTAGTTTAAAAAACCATTTTACGAGCTGCAAAGCTTAACACAACGAAGGCCACGGCGCTTCCCAAAGCTTTAGGATGGGTATTGAACAGCTGCCTCGATTGGTGTGCAGAAATCCGACCACGCTACGAAAACGTGTTTGCAGTGGTCCCCAAACGATGCAAATTTACTGCAATTACTGTCCTCTTCCCAGTGACACTGCTCTAAAGATGGAATCTGTTAAAGAAAAATCAAAGCTCCTCTTTTCTTTAACTCTTCTCGACTTCAGATCAAAGCACAAGTGGCCACTTCAGAATTCAGCTCCGCAGAATGAAGCTGTGGTGTCCAAAGAACCCTTTCAGTCGTTTATTTAAAGCAGCTGACAAGATCTGCTACCCCTTTCCTTTAGGGTTATCACTTCTAAATCCGAGGACCTGCAAAGATACTTTTGGAAATCCTCCACTAAACAAAGCACTGATTTGGCCTCCTCCTTCCAAGTTGGAAACGTTTCTCCTCACCTTCCCCCCTGACCTTTTTTTTTCATCCCCTTTCTTCCCTATTTTTAATGCTCAGGTCCGGATAGAAAATCATGGCATAATCCCGTCTAGCCCTGGTGAGACCAAGCGGCACAGATTCCAGCTTGAAAGAGTATAGACACTATGGTAACATTGACAGCCTTCATTTACATAAAAGAATACTAATTATGTTGTATCATCAACATCTGTGATTCTGCTCACTGCCATATGCGACAGCGTTGGGAATTTAACCCTTGAGTCCCACCAGCGGATCCGGGATCTGCACCACGGAACAAATAAGGGGCCTTATAAATGCAATTTTCTAGAGACCGAGCAAACAGGCGGCGAGCGCCGTCGCTGCCGAGCTCTGCAAGGTCTCGGGACACAACATTTTCCAAGAGAACCGATTTTATCCCCAGTTTCCAAGGCAAAGGAAACAATGCTGGTATGTCGCTACTTTCAGCTGGGTACCAGGCTGCAAGGAAATCAATCACACAGCAGATACAGAGCATTAAGGACTCATGTTTAACAATGAAGGAGGCTGTCGGTAGATGAATTACAAGCCTTTTGTCAACTGCTTTTGCTTTTCCTGTGTGGGCCAGCAAGATTTCCTGTTTGAAAAGGGAAGAATTCAGCAAGGTTGGTCAGTGAACGGAGCAGCTCTGTCACACCTTCCTTCAGCAATTCTCAGCACAAAAGCATCTTTGATATCGCACGTGATATTCCCCACCTGTTTCTCCTTAGGTATCTATGGCTACTGCCCCTGCTAATCCAAGCCCTAATTGCACCCATCTTCGGCTGCTCTGCGAGTCAGAATTAAACGGTGTTTATTTAACCCACACCACTTCAATGAGACTCCTCCTCACCTTCCTCCAATAACATCTCCCTCCTGTCATCGCCGTGGTTTTCGTGCTGAAGCCGAGCAGGGCTGCCCAGCATCTGCATCGCTCGCTCGCTCCGCGCCGCAGGGTTTCCTCTTCACATTCAAGGTGCCTGCTACCGACCCACATTTTTGACCCCTTCCATGAGAAAATCATTTAAAATTGGCGCTTTTACACGGTACTGAAGGCAGCTGGAGCATCTGCAGGCTCAGCCCTGCCGTCCTGCTGCTAAATGAAAGCCACGCACACGACCGAGGACACGGTTTGGTCCTCTCTTCGACACAGGCAAACACAAATACCTTGCCACCACCTCCTAGCACGAATGAAAGGAGCACGCCAACAGGAGAGGTTTCAAAGCGGTGATCAAAGGAGAACACAGAGATGAGTCAGAAGCCGGACACGAGGGCGCAAACAAACCTCACGGAGATCACAGGGCTGGAGCTACCTGAGCTATTGCAGCGACCCAACACAAGTTTACGTGGTTGATGGGACAGCCGAGGACGAGCCATGAGCAGCACGAGAGTTTAATGATGGAGAATTAACGCCTTGCATTTCAAAGGTCTTGGGAACAAGCACACAGCGCTCTTCTCTTTGCATTCACATCAGTAATATTTACAGTACATCGGGTTTAGTTCTTGGCTTTACAACCCTTTTTCCATCAAGGTAGATCTCATTTTAAGAACTGTCTATAAATTGGCCCTTTCTCACCGACTCAGATGGGTTCTTTTGCAGATAAGGGGCGGGGGAAGGAAAACAGGGGAGGAGGAACAATTTAATTGCTCCACATGGAGAAAAGGTACCAGAAGCAGCGTGGAGCTGCACTGCAATACGACTCAAGATGAGTTAAAGCTGAAATAATAGGAAATAAAAGGAAAATAAGGACACCAGTTTAGCCAGTAACATTTCAGAGACCATTTGAAAGAGGCTCAGCCCGCAAATCACTCCCAGTATTTAAACACGGGGTCAGACCCTACTCCTTTTCTTGCACGGCTCATAATCCTGGAAAAACTTACGGCAAGATCCCGTAACAGCTTCAAGACCCAAACGCAGCAGAAACAATTTGGCTCTTGACCCGAAAAGCGCGTTAAAGCAAACCACATGACTCGGTGATGTTTCTGCGTCCCATTGCTACGCATCGGGAACCTGATTGAAGACATCTGCACCGAGCCATTGACACCAGCTCCTTTCTGCTCCTAAATAAGAGTGCACCAAGTGAAAAAGAAAGATTTCGGGATCGGGAAAGGTGCTGGATGTTTAAACCAGAGGCGTCTTGCGTTTGTCCAGGAGTTGATTGCAGAATAAATAAAGACCCAAAACGGCTTGAGCTGCAGCCTGGGAATCACCGCGAAGCGCAGGTGGGCAGCTCAGAACGATCCTTTCATTCCTCCAGCCCCTCCCGGGACTGGCAAAAGCGAAACACGGCAGCGTTTCACCGCCTTCGATAAAGCACATTTTGCCTTTTAGTTGGTTTTCCCCTTCTCGTTTTGTTTTAAAACACCGTAGGAAAAACATCTCCTTCGATATTCTCGAATCGAGAGTATCCTACACAAACAGAGCACATTTGATCAAACAGGTTTCAAAACCTTGGGTGCAGAAAACCAAGCATCTTCCTCTCCCTCAAATAAACCATTTTCGACGTGCAGCTCTAAAGCAGAATTTCCAGCCTGCTGCAAATCCTCAAAAAATGCAAAATAAGGACGGTATCTCTAGAAACTGCACACAGCTCGATTCCTCTGATTATTTTCACCTACCCATTTGGGA